CATAAGATTGATGAGTTTCTTATAATGGATGAAAATGTTGAACAGAAAAAAGAGAAAAAATCTTTCAAGTTTATTTCTTTATCAATATAATAGGACATGGTTATTTAAACCATTTATCTAAATAAATTCTGAGTATTAATGTTTAAAAAGGATGAAGATAGGTAAAGAAATGATTCAACATTTGGCTTGATAATAATATTAGGGAGTCGTTTTCATTGCATTTTTTGAGGGAAAAAAATGTCAAAAAAGGATAAAAACAAATTGTATTTATTTTGCGAAGAAAAATGTTAATCTGTTTTCTCTTTGGAGCCATTTAATACTTTCAAGGTATAAATGGAAACATCAACAACTGGTGGAAAAAATTATTTATTCAACAAAACTGAATTTCAAAATTCAGATTACGACGAGAGAAGATACAAAATATAACTTGATATCCATTTTGTTGAATGATAATAATAATAAATGCTAATAGTTTGGAGGAAAGAAAATTGGATTTGAGTTTTAAGGTCAATCCCCTTCAACAATTTAGTATTGCTCGGTATAGATTATACCGACATTTATCGATATTTCGTATTGGTGAAATTTTTGTTGCTTATTAATTGTGTTGAAAAATAATAATAATAAAAAATACATTGATACAATGTATTTAATTATCAAAAATTTCTTGAAAATTTTCAATTGAATTTTCTAATTCTTATAGATTAATTGAAAATAAAAAGTCACCAGGATTTGGACCCAAAACTTTGATATTTTGACCTACTCCTTTATCCACTAGGCTACACCCTTTTATTAGGTTGTTCGGAAAGTTCTGTCGTAATCCTTACAGTGCTCAGGTTTCATTCTGGTAAACAAACATTGTAATTAATTCCATTTCCTGCTTTTGCATATTTGTAAATTGATGCCAGACTTATTATTTCCAAGAAACATCATCAGGAAAATAATGTTGGTATTAGTTGAGTTTTACCCTTTGAAAATGGTGCATCAAAAAATTAAAGTACGAGCTTCGATTTTTCAGGGTGACACTAAAAAACCAAAATGAAACAAAAAAACCAAAAACAACCAACATAAACAAAATAACCAAAAATAACCAAAATAAACAAAACTTTAATTAGATGAGATGCAAGGATAATACTTATATTTATTAATTCTTTATGTGAAAATAAATAGATGCATTTATCAATTTACTCAAAAAACCAATGTGAATGGGTTGAAAATTGAGTTCAAATTGTTACTTTTAGCTTATAGTTGAGAAAAACAACAACAGATGGCGCTGAAAGCAACTTTCCACCGAAAGTTCCACCGAAGATTCCACCGAGATCTAATTGGTAAAATTAGCTTTTTTTTTGTTTTCAACCATTATTTAACTGTTTTTATGTAAATTTTTATATTATTTTTGAATATAAGTACCATTAACGTATGTGGATAATTCTATGAGTGTTTTTCAAGCTTATAAAAGTGAGAATGTCTTTATTGTGTAAAATTGATCATGAGCCAAGTGAATCAGAAGTTGTCGAGTTTATTGCCGATAAAGATGTCAACACTCTTCCAACTCGCTTAAGTGCATACCCTCAAACGGATACAATTTATATATACAAACTAACAAAAAAGCAGGACATAAATGTGGATGGTTTCCAGTGGCACCAGTCATCAAAGTACCAAAGTAAAGACTCTCCGGTTACGACGCAACGATTTTATGTTATAACGGAACGCATCAATGGGAAACCAGTGACTTCAAACTGTTTCATTAAGATCAAGTATTTTGTTGATAAAAGTGATATTGGTGTTTTATATTACACTGGTGATCCTTCAAATGTAAAACAACGGCCACATGGTAATAGTAAGTCAAAAAGAGCTTATCGAAGAACACTTCCTTCTACTATTGATACAATTAAGAAACACAATTTAACTGCTAGCAATCCAAAAGACTATGCAGCTATACAAAGAGAAATAAATAAATCAGTACACCAATCTGATCGCCCTGAAGATAATAATTTTACTGATTCTCATGTTATGCCGAGAAACCCTAAACAGATTGAAAATATTAAATACAATATTAACAGCACCAATCTTCTACACTATGACGAAATATACTCCTTGTACTTACTAGCTAGGACAGAACTAAGTGATTTTGTAAGATACATCAGTATTTATCCAGATTTGATCGTGATTTGTGGATGTCCAGCAGCGATTGAACTAGGAAACCGTTGTTTACGTGCAGCTGAAGCTGATTTCAACTTACAACAATGTATAACTTATGACACTACCTTCAATTTAACAAATCTTTTTGTTTCAGTACTTGTGATGAGAAATACTGAATGTGTTAATAATCCGATTTTTCCTGTTTTCATAATGCTACACTCAGCGAAATCAACAAAAGTGCACTCGTTATTTTGGAGAGAATACGCTAAAGATCTTCTTGAACTCAACAAATTCGTTCCTATAATTACAGACAGAGAGAAGTCGATAACCAAGGCAATTTATGAAGCAGGTTTGGATGAAAATCTTGTTTTCTGCAAGCTCCACATAGAGCGAGACATAAAGTATTGGTGTACTGAAAGAAGTTTACCCATGAAAAATTTTTATGTGTACAATAATATGATCGATCGCTTGGTCCAAACAGAAACTGCTGTAGAATTCGAGAAACAACTTGCAATCTTCAAAGCGCAGATGAGTCAAAGATTCAAAGACTATTTTGTAAACTCAATTGAAAAAGATATTGCACAGCATGTGGCTTACTTTAAAATTTCCAGGTTCCCTGTTTTTATTAGCAATACCAATTTCCCGTCTACCAACATGGCAGAATCATTCAATGCTGTTATAAAAAACTATCAAAATCAGAAGGAAGTGCGTGCTGATATGTTGGTACTGAATTTGATCGAGCTACAATCTTATATACTCAATGAGTTCAATCGGGCAATAAACGGTAATGGAAAGTTTGAGCTAAGAAGTGAACTCATTGGATGCGCTGATAAACTCGATGTCAATTGCCCTCTAACTTATCAAACAAGCAAACAAATTTTCGACAAAATACTGAATAATATGCTGTTAAAAGAAGATACCGTCGAGAATGAAACCAAAGACTACCTCACTGACCTTGTTATCAGAAACAAACTTGTTGGATTTGAAGCTCACACTCAAGCATATGTTGTAAAATGCCCATACAGCAGTGATACGCATAGCGTTTCGAAAGTCAAAGGGAAACTGAGATGTAGCTGTGCGAAGAAGAAGAAGTGTTTTCACATTCGTGCTGTTGAAAAGCTCAGTGGAATGGAAGAAAACAACGATTCGAGCCGATTCAAACTCACTGAAATCGATAAGAACTTGCATGAAAAAAAGGCAGGAAGAAAACCGAAATCTGTTAAAATAATATGGGAACCAGCTGCTGATAGTGATGTAGTCAAAGATACAAAACCAATCAAAACAGAGGATACTGTTGTATCTGATTCTGACTCTTTGGTGAGAGAATGTGGCCTGTTCGATGAGGAAATAGAACAAGAACAGATAGGAAAAGAACAAAAAACCATTCCGAAAAAGCTTACGCACATAGAAGGACCAGTTCCTAAGAGCTTCAAGGTGCCAGAAGCAAAAATATCGCGTTTTCTCTGTTTGAGATTTGGTGAATGGTTGCATGATTCAATTCTCAATGATTTTGGAGCACATATCATTGAAGCATACGATAAAACTGATAAAATTTTGTGTGTTCCAAGTTATATCTGGCAAAGTTTGGCATACAGAAGATCCCAAAACGAGAAATTAACAACAAAGTGTACTGAAATTTGCTTCCTCAACAATCATACTGCATTAAAGAAAGATATACTATTTGTTGTTATCAATACATGCCTGAAAAAAGGATACCATTGGATTCTCGGTGTCATTTTATTCAAACAGAAGACCGTTCTTATTTTGGATCCATCAAGCACAATCATTGACAAAATATGTGAAAATCTTTTGTCCTTAGTTAAAATTTGTTATGCTTTAGCTGGCATCTCAGTAGATTTATCTGAATGGATTATCATTAATGCTACTGATTGTCCAAAACAAAATAATGGCAATGATTGTGGTGCGTTTTGTTGTCTTTTTATGCTATCTATCATCCAAAAACGGAACTTCGTAAAATTGCCTTCAATGGAAATGCGGAATAAAATCAAGTTCATTTTATGCAAAGCCAAGTCCCCTAAAAGTCCAAAAAAAGGCAAGAAGATTAATGAAAGTATTTTAAAACTACAATCAATGCAAGAAAAAAACGTAACAAACATTTCTGTACAAAGCGCGACCGTCTCTACAATGCTGGTCAAAGCGGTTCAAGAAACAGATATTACAGGGGAATGTCATTCTTCTATTTGCTATGTTGAAGACAAGAAGAAT